TCACCCTGTCTAATCGTGTGTATCCAGCTGTCTGGCACACAGCTGGGTGGTACCTCTCGGATCGACAGTCCCATACTTGGATCAAGGCGTTTGCACTTGACCGCCACGAAGCCGGCAACGAAGGCCAGCGGCCCGTGCTCGATGTGTGTGTCCTCGTCCATCTCGTCGCCGCAGTGGGGGCCATTTTCGGTCCTCTCGCCGTCACCGCCATGGAGCTTGCCTTTGCCTGATTCGTCAAACCCGTCGTTCTCGTCCACTTTGCTCAGGATGGGCACTGGAGGCATCGCGGCTGCTTGCTGGTAGGCGGCCTCCACGTCGTCTGTATGCGCTGCCGCTTCCACCACAGCTGGATCTTGGATCTGCGACACAACGAAACGGTCCTTACCGCGTATCTTTCAAGCGCATTTATCAGACCTTTTTGCATATCACCAGTTGTGTTTTTCATTACGAGAGCAAAACGTCTTGAGCCCGGACATGCCTATTTTTTTGTTATCGCATGCTTGTTTTTATACACAACCACCTTTTTTGTGGTCCAGCATGACATAATCCGGGCGGGTAAGAGGGACAGTCAACGGCCGACGAGTACTGCACTGCGTGCACCACTCTGATATCTCCCTCTCCTGGACATAACCACGGATCTATCTGGATGGGCCCGTTTCATGGTCCCATTTCATTGCATCGGCTGCCCCAGGGGGTTGGCGCCGCCATTACAGTTTTTCGACGGCCCTCCGAGGACCCTCCGAGGCTCCACCCCCCCCCCCCCCCCCCCCTCCGCTTCCATTCATCTCTGCCCATGAGGTTCAAGGCCTATGGTTTAGGCACAGGAGCAGTTTTTTACCACGGTTTTATTGTATGTAATCCCGGGGTTTGGTGACCAGGCACATGGCCTTTATTTGAAATCTCAGACACTACCATGAGCAGTAACACGAAGAGCCCAAAAGTGGTTCAAAAGTAGCAAGACTCGCAAACAGCCGAGTGAACATGTACGGTACGCAGGTGAAATAACTGTTTAAGGCACCAGTGCAAACCAATATTAGAATCTCATTGATGCGCTAGGTACTGTACCTATCGACGATTGTGGGGTTTGTTGGTCAGTTCACAGTGTGTAGATGTACTGTCAATGGGGCTGGGATTCGCTCGTGCAAACTTACCCTCCCCCTCCCCCCCGTCACAAACCCTGGCTACGCCCCTAACCCTCAATACCCTTCGCCCATGTAGCATGGATGGCTGTGCCACTTGTGTGGTAGTCAGGTCCCACTTTGTAAACAAGATTATGGCCGGAAAATCTCGCTTGAATCTCGTATTGTAGTCTACAAACTGCACGGAGCGGTATGGATTATGCAGGCATTAGTGACTGAATCGGGTTCAAAGATTTCTGCATAAAACAGACGGTCTGTTTTATGCAGAAATATTTGCAAAATTCCCGGCGGGAATTTTCCTTTTAAGCACACGCATACTCACTTCGGTGTGCCGGCGATGTCCAGTCGCACAGACGGAACTGCACTTGGTCGAAGGCATGGTTTAACATTGGGTATGAGACTGGCCTTAACCAGATGGCCGGGATTATAGTCATAATCTTGAAAATGATCAGATCAGATTAACACATTCTCCGCATTTATGGTGTTAGTCCAAGAGTAACGGTTCACTCACGTTTCCAGGACAGTTGGATCGTTTTTTTGCGAAAGAAAAATGTCTTTATCGTGCCGTTTCACATTCTTGCAAGAGGCCACTTCACAGGATGGCATCTTGCTGCCAAAAAACCGCCTTTGACGCCCACTTTTGCCCCACACCCACACGCCACATCAATTTTCTCCCATCCGCGACATAATAGCACGCACTGAGGCAGTACAACAATACAAACTTGATGCCACACTGCACGATAATCGCGATATTACATTAGATACATTACATTGGTATTATACGGCCTTGACGATAATAGACAAGACCAACCACGGCATTTCTGCGTGACGACTGCTTTCCACGCGACGCAGTCGACGTTGCCATGCAACGCCTCAGCGCGAGCCATTGTGACTTTATGACGTCACCGCCCAACGTTAACCAGGCGCCAGCCCGACCAATTTCTCAAGCTGAGATGATGGCCCCCTGGTACAGCTAATCCTATCTGGGGCGGGGGAAGGGGTCCTCCTAGCACCCATTGCGTGTCGTCCTGTCCCCCGCCCCTACTGGCGGTGGTGACGTGACACCGCCGTCCCACAACCCGCGCGGCAAACGTTCAATCGTGAACATGACCATTGCGACTGCTCACGTCTAGGCTGGAGCTGAGGTCAAAGATTACTCACACCGGGCTTTTAACAGCTTGCTGTTGGGGCTTCCTTGGGTGCGGTTGCTGTGGGCACCTCGGTGTTGCGACCCGACCTGCCCCAAGTTGTCAGGGACAACCAGCAGTCGAGGCTGGTGGCCTGGGTGGAAGCCGTTTACCGTGCAGTCGGAGGAGATGACTGTGGTGGAGGTGCAGAGGATAGTGGCGGCCGTTCTGCTGCTGGCGGTGCCATCTACATTATTCGATCAGCCACTGGGTCTGGTCGAGCGTCATCTGCCACCCGTCTACCTGCAACACTTCGTGTTGCAGGTGCGCGATTGTGATGTTGTGCCCAGGTCGTGCTCGGCACTGACCAGGGGGAGGGACATGAAGTAGGAGGGCACAAAGGAGCTTGCTGAGCGGTGGTAATGAGCAGACATCCCAAACAGGGCCCAGAACTCATAGTGCATAGCAATACGCATAACATGCGCAAGTGCACTGCGAGCGAGCCGTATGGCAGAATGCGAAATCCACCGCGACCGCGACATCCGGGACCGTTTAAGGCCACCGTCGGCGGGCGGCGAATATAATCGTATAAATACACGAGGGAAAAATGTTAAGACAGCTACGCTAGAGGAATGCCAAGAAACAATCATATTCACCTTCCCGGCCGGCAACCCTCCCAAGAGAGGGTTTCATGAAAAAACTGTTACGACGAATGTCTTTCAGTGACACGCCTTGAAACTGCGTTGATGCCTATCAGTGCAAAGCGAGCCAGTTCACATTCAAAACTGCCAATAATCCAGTCAAATAGAACTATCACATATTATCTATGGTTGTGTTATGCGCTGAGTGCGATCATGCAGCCTATGGTGGGGCACGTGCTAAAGGATACTAGAAAATGGGAAAATTAGGCACAGCAAGCTAGGGGCAGTCACACCGTCCAGTAGTGTTGGCCATTTATTGAGCTAGAGCCGCGACGAAAAAAAAACAGCAAATTCCTCACCATCAAAGAGGTCAGTGGTGCCCATGTTCAGGAATTTAGACCAAATTGTGACCTCTTGACTTAAAGGGAGCGTTCACATTTGTAGGGTGTTTTGAACTGAAAGTCATCTTCAAGGGCGTCTGGTGCAGTTCACAGCCCCGCCCCTAAGACCTTAGGTCTCCAGTTTCTGGGTTATATATCCGCTCTTTCAGGGAGACTGTTCCCTTTTTCAGGCTTTTTCAGGGAGACTGTTTCAAGGCCACCGAGTCGTTCATATTTGTTGGTGTTCGCGAATGGTCGTGTACACGATTGCCAGATATAGCGGCCGTCAATTGGCTCTCAATCAACGCTTTGCAAGGTACGATAACGTAATCAAAGAATTGTGTCTTAGAATATTTGTGAAATACAGTAACTGTGATGTTTAGAACAGTTTTTTCCACTTACAAGTATACCAAGAGTTCCAAGTGAGCTTATCTCACCATACATGACGCTTGTATCAATGTCTTCAAAGTGGGATATTCCCTGTAAGCCAATTAGCCAAGTTTTGACGCAAATTTTAAGTTTTACCTTTGGACAACCACAGAAAACCACAGGAAAAGCTAAATCAGGTAGAGATATCGGATGACTGCAGGGATTATATAATCCGTTCTAAATCCAATGGCACACCCATCATACCTTTCGGTGAGTTGAGTAAGCCAGGAGTGCCATATTCGAGGGTAGGCCTGAGTGTCAAGAAAGTTGTTTAATAGCAGGATGTTTGAGTATGCTAGTCTGCCATAAAAAACTTTCAAATGAACCTGAAATTGGAAAGTACAACTACGAACCCCCGCGGTACAAGTCGGATCAAATTTTTTATCATACAACCAAATACAAGAGTCACAAATCGTTCCTTCGCAAGATACACTTCTTTACCCGGGCATCGTCCGTCATCCTGATAGTCTTGCACATATCACAGGTCTATGAAGGTTCCGATACTCACCATGAATCCCAGCCATGGACACAGTTAAAATTGCATCAGATACTGCCGCCCAAACATTTCCCGTTACTCCATCACAGCTTGTTCACAATCGCATCGAACCCATCGCGCCAGCACCACCTCATGACGTTAGTGTCCCACTGGCCGTGGCCCGTTCCACATCATCACCAGGCGCGTCCCCTGTGTCCAGCTCGAGACTCTCGGCGCTGCTTTCACCGCCGGCGCCGTCCAGCAGAGCGCGTCCCTCGGCGGTGACGAGCGCGGCGTACAGGCGGGCGGCCAGCGCGCGCAGCTCGCCGCCGGCCGCGTCCGCTTGCTCCAGCAGCCAGCCCAGGGTCAGCTGTAGTTCGGCCGGCCGCTGCACGAACAGCCGCGCCGCCGCCGACAGCAGCACCGCCCGCGTCCGCTCGTCCAGCCGGCCGAACTGGGCGGCCAGCTGACGGAAGCGCTGTGCCGTCGCCGGCAGCCGGCCTCCCCAGCGGCCCAGCAGCGGCAGCAGGCGGCGCAGCGCCGGCGCCGGCAGCTCGCCGCCGGCCAGCAGCGCGGCCAGTAGGCGGCGCCGCGCCGGCTCGGCCAGCGGCGCCAGGTCGGCGGCGCGCAGCGCGATAGCCACGCGGCCGGCGCCGGGGCCGCGCGCCAGCCGCACCAGCGGCTCCAGCGCGGCGCCGGCCAGCTCGGGCCGCCGGCGCGTCACGCGCAGCAGGGCGGCCACGGCCGCTGCCTGCAGCCGCTCGTCGTGCAGACAAGCGGCGAGCTCGCGCACCAGCGCCGGTGCCGACTCGGGTCCCGCCAGCCGCCACACGAACTGCACCAGCCGCAGCGAGAGTGCGCCGCCATCGGACGGTCGCGGCACGAAGTACCTGAGGAAGAGTGGCGCCGTCACAGGGCGGCAGGCAGTCAGGACATACTGCCGCTTGAACGGCCCAGTAACATCGCACAGCAGCAACATATACTTTTTGACCTGGCGACCTCATCGCATTTGCTTATTGACCTACTTAAACACATGGCATATCAAAATGTGTGTGTTTAACTCCAGCCCAATTAACTATGACACATTAACTAAAAATGGGAAACTTTGTGACTCCTCCTTTAAACATACTACTTGGGTTTCGCAAAAACACATATGCAGAGCGCCGGGAACGGTAAACCCGGGATTCAGTCATCTCTCCATCCAGTCATCTCCACACTGAAAAGAGATATGAGATGTGGTATGTGAGGATTTGCTCTTTTGAGCAAGAAATCTAACACAACGTTTGTGATCCAACATAAAATTCAAGGTAACCCAAGATATAAAATACAAAAACGAAATATTTGGAACATGCTCCCGCAGTCACCCGTGCAATGTGACATCCATAAAACCATTCCCAGCGCTATCTATGCATATATTTGCGTAGCTCGCAAAGGGAATTCACAGGAGGAACTCATAATAAATATCGTCATATAACATGGCAAAGTTGATTGGGCTTGATTCAAAGTCGCCGCTTTTGATAAGTCATATGTCAAGGAAGGTCACACAATAAAAGATCATGAGGTCACGAGTTTTAGCCTTGTGACCTCATTTAACGGTGTTTCTGCTTGATTGAAATTACGCTATAACTTCACATGCCTCGTCCGATTGACAAGAGAGCATAAGCTTTCCAAATCGCTAGAGAACAAAAAATACCGAAGAACATGGGTCAAACCGGGCGTAGATATCACGCACCCGGCACCGCGGCGACTCGAGACAAACATGTTCTGACGGAGGACAGACAATCGTATAAGCGACGACCGTCCCATCCCCCTCCGGCCGCCGCCTGCCGTACCGGTAGTGGGGAGAGAAGGCCGGATGGTGCTCGGGCCCGAGCCGGCGCACCAGCTCGAGGGTGAGCCAGCGTACCGGCGGCGTGGCGTCGGCCGGCCGGCAGAGGGCGGCGGCGGCGCGCGCCACCGCGTCCGCGCGCAGATGGCACAGCTCTCCCGAGCACAAGTGGAAGTATAGCTGCAGCGCCGCCTGTCGGCCCCCCGCCACGGTCAGACGCGACTGCGCCGCGACCCACGGGGCCGGCACGGCGTCCCCGAAACATTCGGCGGGAGGCCTCCAGCGCCGTGTCATGTATCACACAGGGCGCCGGCATGGGCGCCGCCGACAAAAAACACGTGTCTCCACATGCTTTTTGCACGTACTCCACGTGAATTTCGGACGTTTTCAATGACGCCATGACAGGACGCGACAGGCGGGTAGGAGCGACATCCATGGCAGGGGTCCGCGGTGAAAGCAGGGGACACTGGCTGGCGCGAAAACACGCTGAAACATTCAAATGCCATTGTGAAGCGGATTATGATGCAACAGGACACCATGTTGTTGTACAGAAATAAGCTAATGGAGATGCAACTTTACGGAGCAGGCACAGAGCCCTTCCATAAAACAGTGAACACCAGTCCCACGGTTGACGTGATTCGCGGGGACCGAGCGGCGGCGAGCAAAACACAAGGTTCAAGCAGAGGTCGGGCACGACCGCGCACACACGTTATGCAGGACGGGGTGAGTCACGTCCAATTGGCTCGCCTTCATGCTGCACAGCTGAATCGTGATTGTGCTACATGCCATATTGCAAATTGTTTATGAAAACTGATGTTACTGTAGAGTTGCCAATGAAATGAGCACCAAGCAACGATGGAATACCAAGAACGCATTGCGTTATTGGAGCATCAGACAACACAATATAAAATAGATTTGAAAACCGCATTTGCTACCACGTTCCATACCAAGGCAGCGTGCTCAACATTAATGTGTTTTGGCCTTTTATGCCTCCAGCTGGCTGCAGCCTGACTGCTCTGCACCTTGTCCCGGCCAGGGTCGCGCCGATCCTTACCTCAACCAGATGCGGCTGTGGCGAGGCGAGGAGCCAGTCGAGTCGGTTCATGATATCGAGCCTCTCCTGGTCCGAGCCGGGCTCGTACCGCATCAGCAGCCGCAGCACGTCCACCAGCACGGTGCTAGGCAGGTTGTGACTCCTGTCGGCCGGTCGGAGAACCACAGGTCACAGCGTCACTCCCGAGGTGGCACGTAACAGCCAAGGAACCGCTGATAGCACGGCGTGTGATGGGCTGCCGCTTCTGGCGGCCTTCTGGAAACCCAGAAGAGGAAGCCACGCGTCGAGGAGGCGCAGGGCCTGTAGCTGCATCAGAATGTAATTTTCATGATTACATATGCATGTATTGCATGTCATCAACAAAATGGTAGACTTATCACCAACACATCAGTAGCAATTCGCAGCAAACCCTTACGAAACTCACTAATAAAGGCATTCCTGCTCATCTACCTGGATGTGAGGTGCTTGACCATGGACCTGCTGATGACTACGCCACCTTCCGGCTCCAAAATGTCGTCCAAGGTCATCAGGCAGGCATGCACGAGGAGCGGGTCATCGGAACGAATCAGCCGGTACAGGTCATCAACGTGATCTGAGGACAGACAAGACGAGTCATTGCACTTGTTTTGAGCCCGTAGGCAGTGAGGTGAGAAATAGCCATCTGCCTCACTAACTGCCAGGTAATTTTACAACTAGTATGATAGTGTAGCATGGAGGAAATATAAACTGCTACTCGCCGCTATCCCCGCCAAAACAAGACCCTACGTCCCTGCAGCCATGCCGGAGCCGATGCTCGACGTGGCGGGCCACTGACCGGTCGGGTCGCCCGGGTTGCTGCGACCGAAGAGGCGGCAGGCCACGACGGCGGCGCGGCGCACGGACGCGTGCGGGTCCCGCAGCGCGGCGGTGATCACTGGACGGGTGACGTCACCGGCGCCCGGCACGCACGCCAGCGTGCTGCGGCACACGGGCCCGCAGTCGTCAGAGGGGCGCCCCCCCCCCGCCCCACACACACACACGCAAACACAGGGACGTCACCAGAGCACCGGCAGAGGGACGCACAGCGCCACCCCTGAACAGTCGCAGGGGGCGCTCGACTCACGTGACAGCGGCCCTGCGGACGGCCGGGTTCGACCCACGTGACAGCGGCCTTGCGGACGGCCGGGTTCGACCCACGTGACAGCGGCCTTGCGGACGGCTGGGTTCGACCCACGTGACAGCGGCCCTGTGGACGGCCGGGTTCGACCCACGTGACAGCGGCCCTGCGGACGGCCGGGTTCGACCCACGTGACAGCGGCCTTGCGGACGGCCGGGTTCGACCCACGTGATGGCGGCCTTGCGGACGGCCGGGTTCGACCCACGTGACAGCGGCCTTGCGGACGGCCGGGTTCGACCCACGTGACAGCGGCCCTGTGGACGGCCGGGTTCGACCCACGTGACAGCGGCCCTGCGGACGGCCGGGTTCGACCCACGTGACAGCGGCCTTGCGGACGGCCGGGTTCGACCCACGTGATGGCGGCCTTGCGGACGGCCGGGTTCGACCCACGTGACAGCGGCCCTGTGGACAGCTGGGTTCGACTCACGTGACAGCGGCCTCGCGGACTGCCGGGTTCGACCCACGTGATGGCGGCCCTGTGGACGGCTGGGTTTGACTCACGTGATGGCGGCCTTGCGGACGGCCGGGTTCGGGTCGACGGCGCACTTGAGCAGGGCGTTCGTGGCCTGCGGCATGACCTCCGGGTTCCGGCCCACGTGCCTGCCGGTAGTCACGGCCACGCTTGAGCGACGGCGGCCAGTCACACACGCGCCGCGGAGACGGCCGCCGGCCGGCACCCGACCGCCGACCGCACTGATGCTTGGGTTTGGCACTTCGCTGCTTCAGATTTGCCACATGTCAGACTAAGCGGCGTGTTCCAGAGCTGGGGATGACCGCAATATGTCCCCCTTTGCTCAGTACTAAAAGTTAACACCTGACATTGACGTGAACCCGTCGCGTAGCTCGCAGCGAGTCGGTGGAGATGCCCCTTCCAACGGCGCCCACTCACAGCCGCCCCAGCGCCGGCACGCCGGGCACGGCGGTCAGTGGGGCACGTCCGGGTGCCCACCTCTGCACCAGCTCCATGACGACAATGCGCGTGAGCGGCTGGTGGGAGGAGAGCAGCTGGATGCTGGGCTGAACGATGCAGGGCTCGTCCGAGTCCGTGTTGATCAGCTGACACAGCTGTCGACAGACCACGGTCATGCAGATTCTTGCCTGATGGAGTCCATCAGGTGGGAATGTGTTCCACTACTTGATGGTTTTCTAATTTGTTTAACAAAAGATTTAACCTTTTGACCTTTTAACCCAACCTTTTGAATGAATGGATTTCTAGGATCACAGCTCATGCTAAAGAGTGCTTGTTGTATGAGCCCCAACCCTGCAACCTGATTGTGCAACTCCATTGTCAATGGCAGAATTTAGTGCCAAAAGCTTAATGTGCCTCCAAACTTGGTAAGGTCCGTCCTGCCCTCTGATGTCACCTGACTTTTATTGAGGCCTGCTGTCACTAGCTGCACGCTTTACCTGTCATGGGCAAATAGCAAGTACCTAAAGTAACTCACACTTACCCTGCCAGAGGTGGGTAAATTGGAAGGTAGGAGCTCTAACCAACTGAGCCATCAGAGCAAACAAATGGTGGTAGGTCAGCTGTTTTAAACACTCTACATGATGCAGACAACTGGATGCACCACATTTATGACTAGCCATTAACTATATGGCTAGCCATCCAATCAGCATATAAGTAATGACCTGCAACAGCACAAAAAAACAGCAAGGTCATCACATGAATAACATGTAAATTACCTGAGTGACTGCCTCCTTTTGCTTGGCTGGATCCAACAGTACACTGGGTAGGGACAGCAGGTTCATAAGCTGTTGATTGTCTCCCATGTTGACACACTGCAGTTCTGATCCTCTGCAACATCAATGTGAGTCACAAGGACTCACATGAAAAATAATTGCTGTACTTTGCTAAACACAGAATATAAACATATATTTTGAAACCTTCATCTGGAACCTAGACATGTAGCACTTTGCATGGTCACCAGGTTCACCTGGTTTAATATGGCCAAACACAGTTGGTTCCTGTCCTATCCATGCCAGGCCATGACCCTGATCTGCACAGCATGTGACCACAGTCATAGCTTGACATCTGCCTGCTAGTGGCTGCACATGTGAGAGGAAGCGCCAGTGTCGCCCTGGATTTCCCAGGATTACACATGCAGTACAGCTGCAGCTGAGTCTGGGGAATAATCATTTAGTATTCATGTAGCTCTGGAGAATAATGCCTGACAAGGAATACAAACTTTAACTGTTTTTGCTAGCCCTTCAGCCAACTTCATGACCCCACAAACTTAGTAACTCATGTTTTGTTTTCTTGTACACATTGATAGTTGGTTAAAACTAGAGCTGTTTCTACAGATATTTATCTCCAAGCTGACAGTGACTGTGAGTTTGCAACATCCCATTCCAACCAGCTGAAAAGGTCAGGACCCCATGATGTGATCAGCAGGCAGCTGCACTGCAAATCTACCTGTCTGTTAATAAAAACTTGATGGGTGATGTTACTACATGGCTGAAAAGGAGGAAAGTTTGAGCAATAATCAAAAATCACAGTAAAGGTACCAGCAATTCTAACAAACCATAAGTACTTGTTGCATGTACTGATGCTGATATCATATGGTTTGCCTACTCCATTCAGTTTCTACAAACAGTTCAGTAAGTGATTAGCCTGTGCTGGGAATATTTAAAAATTGGGAGTGTGATTCCCATAAGGGACAGGTCAAGATGCTGTTACCTTTCCTCTTAAAGAACTTCTTTTGGGATGTGCTCAAACTCCTATAGTCTAATCAAGGATCTCACATCCTCATTATGTCATGTGTCAGGTAAATAGCTGATGCTGAAACTTACATGTGCAATGAAAAAGCCCCGGGGAAATTAAGTGCAGCAGGGTTGTACATGTAGTTTCCTTCTCATTAGTGGGGGGGGGGGGACTCTAAGGGGGACCTCGAGAAGAAAGTGGGCCAAATCCGGAGATATCCGCTGCTCCCTTAGCCACCCCAGTTCATGTTGTGAAACTACGCCACTGCTTTGAATCAACGCAGGTCTTTGCATAATTTTCCGTGAAGTTTCACATTTTGTATCATTTGTTTCATAGCTACGTTACTGCACACAGAGGATTTCTAAAGGCAGCAGTTACAACAAAATGTGGGGCAGTTTACGGTTCACACCCAATCACCAGAGGCACCCCTCTGCATTTGCGTCGACTATACCAGGATTCTTGTTCATACCCGACCTTCGGATTGCTTCGGATCACGGCACACCGGAGCTCGGAACATTGTATCCACTTCTGTCGACAAATGAAAAAGCATTATAAGTGTGTTCAAAGCAGTTAACATGGTCAAATTATCTGCGAATACGCACTCCAATTGGTGTAATCCAGGTGGTCATATATTTTTGATGAACCGAATCATAGATATCAAATATCTCTGGTTGTATTATGTAGGTATGAATCGAATGTTACGTTTTGGATATTTTTAGCATTTCTAGCTCGCTGTTTTGATAAACAACTAAATCCTGAGGAAGAACCACATGCATAGAATTTATTGGCCATGAATTCCTTGGCGGGAGGGAGGGCGAAATGAGTCGCGATGCAGACATGAAGCGCCCTGAATAACATGACGTCAGCAGAGAAAGATGTGTTGCCTTCCATAATGTACGATCAGGTGCATTCATAACAACACAAACCTGGTGCATTGGGTACCTTGGCCCTTTTGGCACTTGGGTGGTCGCGCGCCCAACCGCGGTGCGCTCCCTTGATGTAAAGCCCTTGCAGTGTGTGTTTCCAGCTCGGCGTTCTAAACCGTTAAATTTATCATCTTAGCACGACTCCATCGACATCTATTGTCATGTCTGACGAATCAAATCTGTTAAAGCTGGTAACTGATCTGGGATTGAAAATTGAGGCAGCTAGAACAAAAATTTCAGCTTGTGAGATACAAGGAGATAAGTGGAAAGCCAACCTCCTGGAAAGTAAGGCCATTGTGAGGCTTGTACTTCGCGTGTTTCTTGCAGTTGTTTTCCTCTCGAGTCCTGGCATTAGAACAGGGATGTGATTTCTTATTCAGTCTAGGGGCTTTATCGCGCCTTCCCGACTTTTACAAGAACGCGAGTCAAATCCGTGGAGAAGCACGTTTTTCCGTGCATGTTGACAATAGTTTGTTGGCCGTAGGTTCCTCCCTCCCCCTGGGCCCCAACCTTTTTTGCAAAACTACGCCCCTGCACTAGAGCGCTTCAGGGCCAAACACGTTGACATCTCATGCTCTGCGCCTACAGGGCCCATTACCATAAAACGACCCCCGTCATAGTTTGATAGCCTGATCTCTTCATAATGCACCGTGCCCTGGGTTAGGTGAAAGTTCGCATTAAGCCCATGCCAGTTATATCGACTGCAGACGATCCGGGGCTCCGACCCTATATGTGGCCTTCAGAAACCCAGTCGGCGCCACTCGATGCGCCTTATTCGATAACCTGTTCTGTAAAGGCAGTATAAATTGTTCATTCACATGAGACTGTACAAAGTATAAAAGTATGACAAATACATGTCTACGAAGTTGGCCATTTATGCAGCGGTTAATTCAGCGACAAGTTCCGATTTCTCTGTACAAAGTCTCAAGGTGAATTTTGGCGCGAGAACATCAAAAATCACCTTTATTTTTGCAACATCATGCGACCTTCGAGGTCGAAAGCTGCCTTAAAGGACGGAAAACTCGATTGCACAAGAAATTTATCGGCCAATTTGCAAACTGCAAGCATCGAAATATTCACCAGCGCAAGAGCTAACGTATGTGAAAAAGTCCTGACCTTTGAAAGGTCACCCTTC